GATGCCTCGTTGGCCAATATAATAATATCCCATATCCAGAACGCGGTAGTGGAATGATTGTCTTATTAAAAACACCCATAAAATATCAATGACCAATTCTTTCCGAATAAAATATGAAAATATGAATAAACCGAATGAGACATTAGAGACTTCCACACTAGTGCCACATGTCAATATCAAAACTTTTGCATTTGCGTCAATGCCAAATTAACGGACCTATTGATGAATATTCATTTCAAGTAAAGGCTATTAATATATATTTATGATCGGCGTGACCATTAACATTTATGGTGGCACACCTGTTCGTAGTAACTTTACTAAAAACGTCTGAAAAATTGTTTATTCCCTGAGCTAAGTTCCACTTTCTCCCTAAGCTAACTTTCACTGAATTTTGCCTCTATTTGATATTGGTGTAGACGGTGTAATTCGTCAATTCTGTATTAACTAGTTCGTATAACTTAATATAACGATAGAACTTTGCCTTTCCATTTGCGACTAGAGCAACTCTCACGCCCCAAGCTTACCGTATGCCTCAGTGATATCTTGACATACGCACGCTGACGCATGAACTAATTGTTAAATAAACATTTAACTTTCGCCTCTATTTGTTAATGAAGCAAATGGTATTAAGTCAAATTTGTATTAGCTGCCAACTTTCTACAACGATACAACTTCGTCTTTCCGTTTGAAAATGCGCTAATTACATCCTATCCTATGCATTTGTAAAAGACGCTTGCTCAAAGTAAGATCCACCAAATTAAAAAGAAAAATCCTTTTTTTAAGACTCCAACTGAAAAACAACCTTTGTTTTTTCATTAAAAAAAGTTAAAGGAAAGATAGATTACCAGATAAAGCTAAGCTTCATAAGCCATTGATTGCTTTGTTTTATCGATGTTATTTTCGAGGTTTTTCGTATTGATCGGTCTATGTTTAAAGCTGTTTAGTCAAACACGGTATAAATATTTTTTCCTTCATAAAATACCTTATGTTGATGGCAACGTTATTGCAAATTACAAAACGCGTTGAATTTTATTACTGACCGCATCCTGTGTAAAAAAAGACCTGTGTTCCTGTTTCTCGTGTTCGTTTTTATTTTTTAAAACATAGTTTAATTAAAAATGTTTAGTTAGTTTGAATGAGCTCCCCTAGCCTGGCCCCTTAGTATTGGTTTTAAAGCCAGCGTTTATGTCACGATATTTTCTTATAGTTAAGCACAGAAATTGACCTAGAACAGCAATATCCTCATGACGTGGCCCCTTCAAGTTCTCTCAGCTGGTACCTAAAATAAGGAAAATGCAAATATTATTCCTGACCAGAAGGAAGTGACAATAATCATGCTATCATTATGGATCCATTTGATGTTGCATTAAATTGAATACACGATAATCAGCAATTATTCCACGAGAGCGCGCGTTGGATACTTGCCTATACATGCCTCGCTGGCCATAAAATAAGTCCATAGACAATGATCGATTCTTTCCGAATGAAATATGAGTAAACAGAAAGAGACATTAGAGACCTTCACACTAGTGCTACATGTCTCTATGAGAAATTTTGCATTTGCCTCAACGCCAACGGGCCTATTGATGAATATTACGTACCCATTTCTAGAAAAACGCCACGCACAGTTATGATCGATCTGCGTGACCATTACCATTGATGGTGGCACACCAGTTCGTAGTTAATTTACTAAAAGCATCTGAAAAGTTATTTTTCCCCGCGCGAGCTAACGTTCACTTTCTCCCTAAGCTAACTTTCACTGACTTAGCTTTTAGCCTCTATTCGATATTGGCGCAGACGGTGTAAAGTCAATTCTGTATTAACTAGTGCTTAATTTGATATAACGATACAACTTTGACTTTCCATCTGCGACTAGAGCAACTCTCACGCCCCAAACTTTCCGTTTGCTTGAGTGATATCTTGACATACGCTTGCTGGCGCATGAACTAATTAAATAAACGTTTTAACTTTCGCCTCCATTAGTCCGGCAGCAAATGTCATAATACTAGTAATAGTTGATACTACAGCTGCCCCCGCTCTGTATATTGTCGGTCAATAGCATTCTTGCTCGTTCAGGGGCACCCAACGAGAATATAGTTCAAAACCACCTAAACATAGCATTGTTAAACGTATTTTAGTATTTAAACAGTAGATATAGGCATATTTTTATCCCCTAAAAATTTTTCATCTGTTCGGATTCCCTAGCTGAAAGTCTAGTGATCCGAAAATTATAGGGATCAAAACTTACCTTTTCGAAAATTCCAGCCAGAAAAAAGGCTCCCGAAAATTCTAGGTGACCTTTTTAGGGTAAAAATCCGTTAAAAATAGGCAATTATACCATTTTTTAGATGTTCGAAAATCCTAGGAGAGGAAGGCAAGCAAGAAATTTTACAACAAATGTTCCGAAAATTCTAGATCTCAAATTGCCTTTCGAACAGATATTTTCCGAAAATTGTCGTTGGGTGACTCTGCTCGTTGTGTAGCTCTTTGAAATATACCG